GTTTAACATTACCAATTTGGCAGAAGGAAGTGTAAATGTTATGTCAGCAGTAAGATACCATTTAATCCTGGGCGATGAGTTGTCGGGGAAGCGTGACCTAATTGACAGCCCTTAAAGGCCACCTTCTGTGGTTCCTTGCGATGTACAAACAGGGCCTGTGGCTGCCGGCAGGTGAAACACCTCAGCAGGTTAACTGTGGGTTTTCTTCTCCACGGAGCAAAGACTGAGCTGTTGGTCTGGGTGGATCTGAGGTGGAGATGGATAATGAACTCATCCAGATTGCTAAATTGGCAAAATGCTCAAAATGAGCTGGGTCTCTTCAGCTTTGACTGAGGGGTTTCCCAGAATGAGCTGGGCCTTCCCAATTACAGAAATCGTAAAAGTGGGTGCTTGGGAAGAAAATAAGAGAAGAGGGGCCGGGGAGATGGCTCAGTGGAATAAGTGCTTCCCTGGCAAGTGCAAGGGCCTGAGTTCAATCCCCAGTTCTGCCAAAATAAATAAATAAATAATCAAATCAAATCAAATAAAAAAGACACAAATCTGCTCTCTGAAAAGAAAGCATGAGGCAAAGAAGCGGTGGGGGGCTCTCTCCACGCCTCTTTTCCAGGCTGAGACCTTCCAGTAGCTCCTTCTCACCCTGGCATACAGAGGCAAATCTGTTGGGAGGAGGCTAAGTGCTGAGGCTGCAGCTGCAGGCATCAGAATGAAGTCCATCCCGATGCCTGAGTGCATCCTCCTGCAGAGGTCAGGTGCAGTGGGTATCTGGTGGGCTGGGGCTTGAATCTATTTTCTCTAATAGATTAAAGAGAAAATCTCCCAAAAGAAGCTGGTGTATTGTAGACTAAGAGGCATTCTGCAAATGCGCAGAGAATATGCATACTACTGGGCTTGGAGACTAAACACTTTTGGCTGGCCTGGACTCTACCTTTAGGAAAGTAAAATCAACATTTCTTCTCTCATGTATCTTCACGCATTTCTATGCTTTTAACAAATATGTCCATGAGTATTCTTCTAGACTTTTTGGTATTGCTGTAACAAAATAATCAATACTGGATGCTTTATAAAGGAAAGAGGTTTATTTTGGCTCATAGTTTGGGAGTCAAAGAATATGGTGCCAGCCTTGGCTTCTGGTAAGGGGCACATGACAAATGGTGTCACATGGCAGGAGTATCGTGAGACATCACATAGAAAAATAGAAAGCAAGAGACTAGGGAGGGGCTGGGCTCACTTTTTTTTAACAACCCATTCTCAAGGGATCTAGTGAAGTGTCTGGCAAGACTGGATCTGCCCCTGTGAGCGAGCATTCCTGAGGGTAGTAATGCCATTGACTCAATTGCCTTCCATTAGATTCTACCTCTTAACTGTTCTGCCACCTCAGCTCCACCCCATGGGGCCCAAGCTTCCAGCACCTGAGGCTTTTGGCGACAAACCATACCCAAACCATAGCCAATATCTGACTGTCATTCCTGTGAGAAAGTGGGACTTACCCCTTTGTCATCCTTGGCTTCCATTAGCTCCCCAATAAGGGCTCAGTGCATAAATACACTGGAAAGAGGTGGAGACTTCCTAGGTAGAAGATGCACACAGAAAATCTTCCTTAAATCCCTCTCCTAAACCCCTCATGTAAGCTTGGGAAAGGACTCAGCACATACTCAAGAAAGAAGTTAAAGCCACAGTGGAGGCTTTACAGAGGAGAACAGGGTACACCCTGGAAAATGGAATTCTTCTCATTTTCTTGCAGACTTTCAGTCAGCTTTCCATGGGCTGCTCTGTCTGGGAAAGTTTGCTGAGAAGCCAAGTCTATGGCTAAACTAGGAGCCCATGTGTCCCAGGACTCTCAGTCCTGCCCTTTTTCTTGGGCAGTAAATAACTCTCTGCTTCTGAACACATGCCTGGGTGACATGTTCGCTTGGGCCACGGGAGGGGCAGAGTCTGGAGGTCTGAGTGCAGAGCTCAGAGCTCTAAGTTTGTACTGTTCCTTTGGACGCAGATTTCCTCAAGGCAAAAAATGGTGACCATGACGCTGAGACTGACCAGGGAGGTGACCAGGTCTGTGTCTCATAGTGGATTTCATGGTGCTCCAGAGTATCGCTGAGTGGAGCTGATACCCCTCCATCAGCAGCTGGTGGGGACACTACTGTGTCACTGTGTCCCTTGATGGTCAATGGCCACTGCTCTTCCCTCAAAGAAGCTGCATTACCAGGCTGCCCAGGCTTCAGGAGGTGGCTGATGCTCATCAGACACACATCCCGCTATCTTCCACGCAGGACCATCACTCTCAAGCTCTCTGAACCTCCCTGCGGGGGTCTCTCCTCAACGCCTCCCTCACTTCCTACAAGATGTTTCTCCTGAAAGGTTCTGTGGGTGACTTTCCTTCACAGGGCCTGTATCCGGGACACCCAAGCTAAGTGACTTCATCACCATGGCCACTGTCCCCTCTGAGGTCAGCGTGGAGATGCATGACGCCAACATTTCTCAAGAAAAATAATTGCTTTGTGGTTAGAAGGGAAACGTTTTCATTCAGGGTGAGTCTCTGGCATTTTTTCCCTTTCTGGCAGTCTAGGAAAGTCCTGGGGAGGACAGGTGTGAGATTAGCACAGATGTCAGGGAGAGCTGCAAAAGGGGCAGGAGAGAGGAGGCAAAGGGGACTTTCTAAGAGACGAGGGACTTTTGTTTGATTTTGTGGATTACTTTTAAAAGGTTCTTCTTCTCCCTACCCCCAAAATCCACATCTGTTAATTTATTGCAGGGGCCTTTGTAACTGGAGAGCTCATGGCCTTCCAGGGAGGGGAGGTGGCTAGGGACTTATGCAGAGACTTAAACCTCATGATGTGGGCATGCTAGGAGAAGCCCCACCTGTGTGTACAATGTACTTAAGGGATTAGAGCACACTTTGAAATTATGATATGTTTTACCTAAAGTAAGCACCTTATTCTTTAATCTTCTATTTCCTTTAAGGGGGGAGGTGGGAGAGAAAAATCATCAGTTCTTCCAGGTACTCAGGTGCACGAGACACTGCGTGTGGGATTTAACAAAGGCTTAAACACAGGGAGGTGAAGCATGTGGCATGAATATATTGTAACAAAACAACAAATCTTATTTCCAACGCTTGTGGTTCAATTCAAAGGTGTCACTTGCAGGAGGTCTAGGGGGTCTGGGTGCAGGTAACACCTTTTAGGGAGACACAGGAGTGAGAGGTTAGGAATGGTGTGGTGTGAGGTGCTGGTAGGTCCTGAGAGGGGACTTTTAATTGAAAAGTTGCTCAGGTCTCTACATTCCCTTTGCGCTCATCTAGAAATATAGGTAAATATCTGAGGGGCTTTGTGCATCAGCGACCAGCTAAGCTGCTGCTTTTGACTCCGGTGACTGTAGGTTTGTTAAGCTGGTCAGAGTAAGAGAGGGAGGATGGTGGCCAGAAATACGACATGAAATAGCAGGTAATCTTTCAGAGTCTGAGAATCACACACAGATATCGCTACAAAATGCAGAGACTTTATTATGAAAATGCTCATATGTTGCAAAAAATATATATAGAAAAATAAAGTTTAATTGGGACACTTTCGTAAACTTCAAGTCACAGACTTTTAGGTTACAGATCAAAGCAGGCACAGGATCAAAACCGAGTCCAGGTAGAGTCCTGGCCTGGAGCACTGTCCTGATCACCTCTCGAGGGTCAGTAGATTAATTCTCCCAGTATTTTTCTACCAGGTCAGAGGTGGGTGAATGACTTGCTTCCAGTTAGAGGGGTGAGCAAGATGTTAACAAAGACTAAATAATTTTTGACAAAACTTTCTTTGCAACAGAATCTATTTATTACAGAAAATGTTTAATCCCTGCAGAACCACAGGTTGAAAGAATTCAATTTAGGGTGTAGGGAGAGAAAAGAGTACTGGGTAGGGGGTGAGCACTGTGTGTGTATCTTGAAGCCCAATCAAAAGGAGAAGTTCCCTGGGCTCCTCTGACTTTTGGGTTATCTTGCACTGTGGTGGGGGCCCCCTGCATGTGGCCCTGGACAACAGCTCATTGCGGAGTGCACACCATAAAGACACGGGGGAGGGGGAAGCTGGCCAACTGTCTATCAGCTCGCTGCAGCCACCAGCAGAGAATAGGCCTTTTTCAGAGGAAGAAATCTGAAGGTTTCTCACTGCCCAGAATGAAGTAGTGGAATCAAAAGACTGTGCAGGAGCAACCGTACTCCTCCCTCACCCCTGACGTCTCTGGTGCTCAGTTCTCCAGAGGTAATAAGGTAGCCGGGGCGGGGTAAAGCTCTTTGCTTGCTGCCCATTGTCTCAGAAGTCGCACCACGTGCACTGAAGATAGTTCCGTAGCATTTAGACAGTTTGTTTTTCTGGTGTCAGAAGCTGTCACGGTGTGCTTCATAAGCAGTTTCCTTTCTCTAAGTCTCCTCCTGCAAAGTGGATGAGTCCCTCTGCTCTCTCAGAGGCCTGGCTGCCTCCACCCTGGCTGCCTTTCCTTCCACACCCTGCCAGGGAGCCCACCCTTCACTGGTGCTATGTGCATCCTTCTGTGTGAAGATCCCAAGACCTCTTACCTCCTCCACCTGCAGGGACCCCCAAGACTTGATGGACTTGGAGTCGAAGGAACATAGCAGGAGCGATGGGACATGTCGGGCCTTTAAACAGGATTTGGAATTTAACACTGTGCATTTTTAAGGGAAAGAATTAAAAGAGTTGCTAGTTAAAAAAAAAACAAACTATGTCTTCTGGCTAATTTAGAATCTGCTCCTCTACTTTATTTTTTTTTTTTTCTCTTAAACTCATGAAACACCAGCTGGGGTTAGAAGGAGGAAAGAGAAAAAGACACGATCTTAGGCTAAATAAGAAAGGAGAAAGTTAGATGGAGCTAGTCTACTAGCCTGGACTGAAAGGGACTCCTTCTGTTGACTGCTGTAGAAAAGCAACAAAAAAATAAAAGAAGAAAGGAAGAAACTTACCCTCCCCGTTGCCCACCCCCGTTATATGCCACCTCTTTCATAATGTAGCACAAATTCTAGCCTCAATAATGCAGGAACCTCTGATCCTAAATTCTCCAGCCTGGGCAGAAAAGGTTAGCAGAGGTGGCCACCTTGTGCTAATGTGAAGGCCACAGGCCTAGCAAGAAGTGTGGAGGAGCCCCCTGCAGCGGAGTCTTCTAGCAGGCCCCACCCCTCGCAGTCCAGTCCTGTTTACACAGCTTGTCTTAAATGCCACAGTGCGTGCATCTTGTTCTTTGGAGGCCACCCTGTAAATATGTAAAGTAGATCACTTTTGGAAAAGAAATGAGCAGCTGATATTTTCACTGCCCCACCCCCATATCCCATGCCAGCCTGTTGGGAGTGGTTCTTTGAAATCCTCATGTGCCCTCATTTTTACGAGGACACAGAATGACCTTGGTCATATTCCAAGGCCAACAAGAGGGCTTTGAACTGCAGCTTAATTCGGTAGGCAACATCCTTTCCCCCTAAGTTTGGCTTTTTCCAAGTCCACACTCAGTAACCCAAAGAGGCTGGAGCTGCAGAGAACAGATCCTCGGAAGCAGTGCAGACAGCTCATTCAAAGTTGTGCTGAGTGCTGGAAGGGGCACTGACTTCTCTCTTCCCTTCCAACAGGTGCTGAAAGCAACAATGGTCTTCAGTGTGCACTGGGGGAACTGTTTAGATATTAAAATAGTCGCTGCCCTAGGTCTCTCCTTGGCTCAGCAGTGAAGAGCTCCTTGTAAACCCCAACAGCTTGGATCTATACACCTGGCTCTCTCCAGCACACCCGACCTCAGTCCCTCCTCCCTGGGGAAGACAACTTCCACCATACAAGGCTGACAGCTGCCATTACCAAAAAGCGGGGCCCCAGCTGCCCAGACAGTAAAGGTGTGGGTAGTAAGCGTAGCTGTTGTACACCGAGACCAGAGAGGCCCGGGAGAGGCTGTCGTCCTTGAGGACTGGCAGGGAGGAGCGCTTCTCCAGATCCCCCAGGTCCGAGGAGAGCTGCTTTCGCTTAGTCTTATAGCGTCTGTTCTGGAACCATATTTTCACTTGGGTCTCGGTGAGCTTGAGGTTTCTGGCGAGGTGGGCCCTTTCCGGGGCAGAAAGGTACTTCTGGTGGCTGAACTTTCTCTCCAGCTCGATGACCTGAGTGTGGGAGAAGGCAGCGCGGGAGCGCTTCTGCGGCTGCTTGGGGGCCTGGGGAAGACTTGGTAAGGCGCCGGGGGAGGCGGCACAGTCCAACAGGTACGTCTCCAAGTGCCTGTCTGGAAAAGAGGGGAAAAGGCCGGTGGAGTGAAGGGTTACGTGGGAGCGCAGCAGGGAACCTGTCCTTACCTCTTCATAAAGCGAACAAACAGTGCCCTGTTGGGTGGATACATTTCGCTTTTTTTTTTTTTTTTTTTCCTGGAGTAAGGAGCTCTCCCCAGCAAGGAGTGAGCAGACTCATGCATTACGTATTCGTTTTCTAATCGTGAGCAGGAACCCCAAATCACCAGGTTCAGTGTGGCTGCGCTTTTTGCCATATGGTGGGATGCAATGAAACGGGGATTCCGGGCCTGTGTACTTTGCAGACCCGAAGCAAGAGGAAGCAGGCGGAGGGAAACGCACTCAGAAAGGAGACCGAAAGGCATCCTGTGAGCATCCGGGTGGGCAAGAGAGGGCTTGTGCGACGGAGGCGGCAGGCTAATGGCAGGCTCATTCTCTGGCTTTAATCCCCCATTCTCTAAAGGAGGCATTCGACTGCCACAAGGAAGCGGTGGGAAAGAGGCTCAGCTGCGCTAAGTGCACCCAGGACGCCTTGTCTGCAGGGAACACACCCAGACACCGATTTATAGATCAGGGGATGGCGAAGGAAAGGGAGCTCGGGACGGTCTAACCTTGATTATTCCTATTAATAAGTTACTACTCCGAAGGCACGCGCCAGGCGGATCAAGGGTAGCACAGTGTGTGCCGCCCGGCGCTGGGGCTGAGGGTCGATGCTCGAGGCTCACTCGTGACGGGGGGACGCTGAGGTCCCTTCTGTCGCCGCAGGGCCCCTCACCTTGCACCCCAGCTCAGGGAGGTGAAGCTGGGCCCCCCGCCTTACTTACCTGGCTGAGCCTCCACCAGCGTCTCCGCCTCCCTGACGCAGCCTCGTCCACCCTTGAGCTCAGGCTCAGGATCCCGCCGCGGGACGAGCTGGCGCGGGGGCTGCGGGCGCCCGGAGTGGCCGCCCAGCCGCTCTGCGCCGTCCCTCAGGATGTCCTGGATAAAGAAGGACGTGAGCGGCTTGGACACGGTCGGCCGCGAGGCCTGGGGGTTGCAGCCAGCCGCCTCGGCTTCAGCCTCGGGCTCTGGCTCGGGTTCCCCAGGCCGCAGCTCGGGCGCCCGCAGCATCCCCGCGGCTCTACCCGCTGGAGCCACTTTCGCTTTGCGCCGCCCGCACGCTCTTATAGCGGGGAGCTCGCCGCGCCGCCTTCCCATTGGCGGCAGGTACCGGGCCGCGCCGCCGATTGGCCGCCCCGCTCTCTAGGTGACCCCGCGCACACGACCCGGGCTCGCGTGGTCCAGCTCCGCCCGCCCGCGGAGATTCTGCCTCCCCTTGCTTCCCCCGCGCCCCTTCCTCCGCCCTAAGTCATTTCCCAGGCTGCGCGCGAAAACCAAAGCCGCCTGCGAGGCAGCCCACTGGCAACAGCAATAGTGACACTAGCCGCTCGGGCAATGCTCGCCCGCTGGGCGAGTCAGAGACCTGCGATAGACTGCAGAGACGAGCAGGTCAGGCCCCCCTAGAACATGATAGAAACATGATAGAAAATCTGTACTTTAATTAACAACAATTAACAGTCCATTTTTCTTTTTAAAAATCTTGTCCTACCCTTACCTCAGATTAAGTCCCATTATGGAGAACACTGGAGATACTATTTTTGCAAGTTCCTGTGAATCTACAACTATTTCAAAAGAATAGTCTTTCAAAAATGATTTTAAAGGAATAGAGGTCTAAAAAATCCCCCCCGAGAATCCGGGGGTCCCAAGGGGAGTCAGGTCTGCTAAACCCTAGACTGGGGGGACGGGGGCGGGGGGGGGGATGAGACAAGCGGCGGGACCTGATCTCAGGCCGTCGCCCAGAGTGGAAGAGGAAGATCAAAGAGTTGAATCCTTGTCAGGATGACCGTACTTCAGCTCTGCTGGGATTGTGTAAGGGAATATTCTCCGGAAGCACACACTGAAGTAGATGCCAAGGCGGCGGGGGTGGGGGTGGGGGGACGCCCAAAGGGTTCAGAAGCGGGGATGCACGTAAATAAATAAGATCTCCAAAGGTAGCTGACACCTGGGGTTATAATGTTAACACTGCTGCGTCAGTGAAGAGCTGCGGATGCTTCTTCATCTATGTCTATGTTACTTTAGGCTGCTTTTCCGCTACCCTGGTCTAAGGCATCTTCCAGTTCACTGAAATCTTTGCAAAAAGAAATGTATGTTTGGGAGGAGAAAAGAGAACTAGGTTATTAAGAGCAAGGGCCAACAGAATGGCCTTTGCAAAGCTGGTTTCTTAGACCTCTATTCCTTTAAAATCATTTTTGAAAGACTATTCTTTTGAAATAGTTGTAGATTCACAGGAACTTGCAAAAATAGTATCTCCAGTGTTCTCCATAATGGGACTTAATCTGAGGTAAGGGTAGGACAAGATTTTTAAAAAGAAAAATGGACTGTTAATTGTTGTTAATTAAAGTACAGATTTTCTATCATGTTCATCATTTAAAACCTACATCCACCACCTGTGTGTGTGTGTGTGTGTGTGTGTGTGTGTGTGTGTCTATGTGATTGTACCACCGGTGTAGGTTCTTGTGATCATCACGACTAAAACACAGAAGTATTTTGTCACCACAAACCCCTCCAATGCTATCTCTTCATCTCTGAACACTCAACCTTCTTTTCCCTTCCTGATCCTCTTGACCCCTCACCCCTGCCCCAGGCCAAAGCTTTTACATTCAGAGCAGGTGACAGAAAGGGACTCACAAACCCCACAGTCTACAACCTCTTGGAATTGGCTTTAGTAACAACTTGCATGCTTCTGCAGTCCAGTCAGGCTACTTCCTGCACGTATTTGTAAATTCAGCCATTTTTACTGCTGAATCGTATTCCATGGTATGACTCTACCAGCTTCTTCAGCTCAGTTCTTTTCAAAGGACACAGGAGTTGTTCACAGGTTCTTACTGTGGGGGTGGCGCCATTGGGACAGTGATGGGAGGTCCTCAGGTCACAGAAAAGAGTGTAGGGTCTTGGTGCTCTCTCTCTCTCCTCCTGGCCCAGGAACACATGGTTCTGTCACAGTGTGCTTTGCTCTCTGAGGCCCAAACCAGTGAGACCAGCTGGCTTTAGACCTGCACCTGCAGAACCACAAACCAGGATTTAGCTCTCTTTGCTTCATAAATAGCCTGATCTGGTATGCTGCTATAGGGGCAGAGAGCTGAATCATACAACAAGGTTTGTTTTCCTGAGATAAACATCCAGGACTGCAATGCCTAGGTCATATGGTGACTACGTGTTTAGTGTTGTAAAAAACTGCTCGAGCATTTTCCAGGGTGGTTGTACCATTTTCCATTTCCATGAGCAGGGTGTCAGGCTGTCAGTTGCTCCACAGCCTCACCAGCACTTGTTATTATCATTATTCTTATTTGAGCCATTAATAGATGTTTAGGGCTATGTTAATTGTAGCTTTCATTTTTAATTTGCATTTGAAAAATAGTTAATGATGTTGAGCATCTTTTCAGGCACCTATTTGGCAAGCCCATCTTCTCTCTGGTGAAATATCTGTCCTAGTTTTTGGCCCATGTTTTATCTAGATTTTCTTTTTTTTTTCCTCTATTGCTTTTTTAAAAATTAATTTTATTGAGAAAAAATAGCAATAAGACAGTTTCAAAACAGGTTAGTAGGACAGTTACAATAATTAAGACATTGCATATTGTTGTCTTCATAGTAGTTATTTGTAGTACAAGATACAGACATGTTATCTTGTCTAAATGCTATTAGTTAAAAACTTTCTTCTCATTGATTTTTTTTCTTTCTTTCTTTTTTTTTTTTTTGTGGAACCAGGGATTGAACTTAGGCCCTTGCGCTTGCCAGGGAAGCACTTATTCCACTGAGCCATCTCCCTGGCCCCCAGGTTGTTTGTTTGTTTGTTTAACTTTCTTCTCATTGAACTATGAGAAAGTAGCTATATATCTATGCAACTATTATATATCTATCTATCTATATGCATATAGATAGATAGATAGATAGATAGATAGATTCACTATAAAATCGTCCTTTATTTTTATCCCCCTTTTTGTTTACTTTTGTCAGAGATGGGTATTCCATTTACATTCAAATATAGATTTTTCTTTATTGTTGAGTTTTGATAGTTCTTTATGATTTTCTATATGAGCTTGTTGGATATGAGTTTGCAAATATTTGCTCCAATTTGTAGCTGTGTCTTCAGTCTTTTACTATCATCTTTCATAGCACAAAAGTTTTAAACCTTGGTGAAATTCAGTTTGTTGATTTTTTATTTTACAGATTATAAATTTTAGTGTCATGCAACGGCCTGAGTACAATCCCTGGTTCTGCCAAAAAAAATTAGTGTCATGCCAGTTATTCTTTTCTTAGCCATAATGCATAATATCTTTTGCTGTATATTGAAAGTTTCATACTTAACTCCTGAATCGGTGATCTATTCTGAATCTTTTTATGTACAGTGTGAAGTTTGGGTAGAGGTAGGCTTATTTTCATTCTTAACACTTAGAGCAGGTGACAGTTCAAGCCATGAGGGATACTGCAAATGATCTGCTACCTAGTGCTGCCACTTGGAAAATATAACATTCTATTCTTTTAACAAAATTCCAGATGTTTCCAAGTTGTAAAACACAGAGAGGCAGAAAAAAAAAAAAAAACAACTACATTCCTCATTAAAGAAATGCAAATCAAAGCCACATTGAGATGCCACTTTTGTACCTACCCCGGCTGGCAAAGGTTGAAGAAAGACAGGATGACATCTAGCATTGGTGGGAAAGTGGAGGACCCACTGCTCCCAGCGGGTGGCCGAGAGAGTGCATCAGTTGTGTGTATTTGAATAACTTGACAGTTTCTTTTGACATTAAAACATCTATTTGGTGCTCAGAGATTTGCCTCAGAACCTCACAAACACACAATGAACAACACTCTTCAGCTTTGCCAAGGGCTAGTTGCAAAATATGTTGTAGAATGAACTCATTGTGTGAAAAAGTACCTCTAAGTTAGCTACAAATGTTTTACATATCTAGGAAGAGATTGCACACACATATTTTCCTAGTAGAACAGAACCTCTGCTCAGTGAGACAGATAGAGATTTGGAGAAGGCAAGGGTGAGACTGGAGCAGGTTCCAGTTCCTTGTAACATTTATAAGCTTTAAAACCTGCAAATCAAGGGTCAGATTGAGCTGGTCCCTCCTGCTCCACCCCATGTAAGGTGTCCCAGGTCTCTTGAGGTCTCAGGTCTCAGACTTCCCTTCAGACTGGGGACATGGCCCAGTATTTGGCCTGGTCTCTTTTTCAGTTTCTTTATTTCATCTTTTGCATTTGCTCCATGTTTTACCTTTGGTCCTTTCCCTTAGTAGACTGTAAGCTCCTCGAGAAGGGAAGGGACCGGGTCCTCCCATTTGTGCCATCCCCTAATGTGTTGCTTGGTTCTTGGCATACAGAAGAGTCTTCCTAAAGATTTTCTAGCTGAATATCTGGTTTTAGTTACTCTGAGATGTCTCACTGGCTGGGAGAACTATCCATGTGGGGCCATAGAGGCCTGAGGTAAGTCACAGAGGGCGGTCAGTCACCTTGGTCCTTTTTCTGTGTTTATGCAGCTTAGGCTGGCTGAAAATGACCAAAGACACCTAGAAAGACACAAAGGGGAAGTGTGAAGGAAAGCTAGAGTGAGAAGGATAGCAACTGGGACAAGTTTCAGCTGGGAATAGCAACTGGGAAGAAAGTCTCAGCTGGCTAGACACGGCTTTGACACTGAGGAGAGGCCATGAGCCAAAGCCTGCAGCCAGCGTCTGGAAGCAGGGAGAGAAAAGAGGAAATGTCCTACCTGGGCTCAAGTAGAACACAGCCCTGCCAGTGTCTCTGTGTTACCCAGTGAGTCTGTGTTTAGATTTCTGACCTCCAGAATAATAGGGTGGTAAATCTGTGTTGGTTAAAGCAACAACTAACAAATTCTGGGACAATCTGCTACCGCAGCAATAAAAATTAATAAAGAGGCACTATAAAAGGAGTCAGTCTCAGTATAGATGCTGTAATCCTGGCTACTTGGGAGGCTGATGCATGAAGATCACAAAATCAAAGCCAGCCTGGGTAATTCACCAAGACTCTGTCTCAAAATGAAAAACGAGGCTGGG